TATATGAAAGCATCTAAGTAAAAAGAAGCCAAAAATAAACCAAAGTGACATAGCAAAAGAAATACCGAAGTTATTCATTTTTTTTTTTACTTTTCTTAAAACAAGAAAAAAAAGACTTAGACGATTGTGCTATGATCGTGACGATATGTTTATAGTTTGTTTCTTTGTCTATTTTATGCAGTGGTTTCAAAGTGGTTTGACTTTGCCATTATAAAGAGTAAGTGTAATGTGTACTTATAAATATCTTATGTGCTTTTGTTGTGCGTTATCGTTGTAATATTGTTGTGATGATTTGTGTTGATAGACAGTTGGCTTACCTTCCCGTTGGTGTCTATCGTTAAAAATGAATAATTGGTAGTTCTATTCATGGAGCTTACTGTTTCTAATCATTCACTAAAAGCCAAGACAAAACAGATTGTTATAAACACAATTTGTTTATATTTCAATTTGTTTTTTTTTTATCTTTAGTGTTGTGCATAGTTCTATTCTTTAAAACATTTTTAATTTGTTTTTTAATAAATGTTAATTTTTTCGTCTTTAATAAAAGCCAGCTTGAAATAATGTCATTGAACAACACCATTAAATATTGCTTCATCAAACAGCAACTGCAGATTTTAGAAGCATGAAATATTTGAAAATTTCTGTTTAAAATGCATTTTTCATCTATGACGGAGAGACCTTTATGTAATTAACTAAAATTTAATTATGCGCACATTAAACGCTTTTAAGTTAAATAGAATTCCTTAATAAAGGAGAGGGGGTTACCAAAAAATTAATAAGTGTCCCGTTAGACATTAGAAGTTAACATTTATATAAGTATTATAATAAAATTTTGCTCCAAAAAATTTAAAGATGTTAAGGAAAAGTTCAACTAAATGATAATAAAAACGCCTTCACTCTAAAAAAAATATATATCCAAAAAAAAATAGTTTTTGTCATATTTAACAGTATCTCCCTTAAGTTAATTATTATGTCTTCTTTTTAACACGGTGCCTTGGAAACACTGTCTTAGTCTCACTTAAATAAGAATTAATAAAGCGAGATAAAACCTGAATAAGTACGGAGCTCTTGCGTACTTCTTAACACTATTGATAATGACCGTCTATAAACATATTTTACGCGTTGTTTGCTGTTTTATAAAATAATTATAACTATAAGCAATGACATTGCTAATAGGGAGCCGAACTTTAAATACAAATTTATCTGTAAAATTATTTACTGATAAATTTGTATTTAGATATATTTTTTTAGATAACGTAGTAAGTTATGTTGTTACTAATGGTTTAGTTATTTTTAACCCGTATTACGGGTTGCTTACTGCTAGTATTATAATATTAGTATATTGAACACAAACTTTTATGTTTTAAACCATATTACAATAATATTATTGTAATATGGTTTAAAACATAAAAACAACAGTAAAAAAAAGTACTAACTTTCTCTTTTTTTTGTAATATCTCAATCTATATTTTTGAGATTGTCATTAGACATAATTACAAAAACTGTTGATATAAAAAGTGTTACAAAATATAATATATTGAAAACCATTAAGAAGACCATGCAAAGATAACATAACTTAAAGGGTTTGTGACCATTAAATTATCATTTATAACCCCATTATAATTAACAGGAACAACCAAGGAAAAACGTGTGGCCCGGCCCTATGCTAATTTGTTTATTGAAAAAATAAATTTTGTTCATAAAAATACTGTACTCTCATGAGACTGATTATATTTTGTTTATATTTAAAATCAATTCTCGGCAACAACTAATCTAAATTAATACCAAATAGCAATCCTAGAGGGTACAGGTTTGCGTGTTCCTGTGGGGTAATTTAAATTAAGGAAATGAAAAAAATTTTTTGCCAAGAAGCATTGAACATCAAATAAATAGTATGAACAGCTATTGGCATGCTTATGGAGGAACTGAATATTGCAAAGAATGTACAGTATATACGACTGAATACACTCAAAAACATTCTCTATAAATGATAACTATCATAAGAAAAAAATAAGAGAATCTTTTAAAATAAATTTGCACAAAAATATCAGGACATTAAACAATCCCTGGTACTATTAAACAGTGACAACAGTTTAAGAATTGTCTTAAATAGCTGGAGACCACTATTTAAGAATTTAAATTTTATTTTTTAAGGCTTTTTATATTAATGGTTTTTGCAATTATATTTTACGCCTGATGATGATCTTAACAATATAAATCAAAATATTACAAAAAAAAGAAAATTAGTGCGGTTTTATTGCTTTAAATTATAGCGTTCTCTACTACAGACCTATTCATCATGCAACCAGATTTTTTTGCGAAGACTTACTTTTTAACAGCAAAAAAGAATTATTTGTCCACATCCACACCACACATCCACACCAGATAAAATGTCATGTCATATATGATATATTTTTAAATAATTGTATATTATATGATATTATAAACTAAATCTGAAACTCCATGTTTAAACTTATGTAGTTTAAACATGGAGTTTCAGATTTAATTCAAAGCGAATTATAAAATTTATAACATTTATACATTTATAAAATTTAGATTAAATCATCATGTCAAATAAATGTATGATGTGATCAAATATATTAAAATCATGCAAAATGTATGTGATTAAATAGATTAAATTATCATGCCAAATAAATGTGTATACTTGTCACACCAACTATCAAAGTAAAAAAAAAAACAAAATATCTAGAAAAGGGAATAAAATATCAGTGTATCAGTTTCCAAGTGATAACAGTGGACATGAAAAATGGATAAAAGCTATTATAGACTCTAATTTGATTGTTACTAAGTATACTGTTATCTGTTAGCTACGCTGGTCTCCAAATTTTGATACAGTTAAAGTTAGCGGAGGAAAACATCAACCAAAAAATGCTCCTTCTGTTTAACTGGGAGTACGTTTATCTCAGATTCTAACTGCTAATTCAATTTAAAGAACTACTAAAAGATCTTTAAGTGGCATTAAGTAAGTACATTAGATGATGAGTTAGACACATTTCTTAAAAGGGATAAAGATTTTTGTGACATTTAAAACAAGTTTATCAATAGCAGTGATCAACAATATCCAGTTATATCGTTTATGGTTGATGGCTATGTTATTATACAACCTTTGCAATTTTTTAATGGAATACCTTTTTCTGTACTTAAAATTTATAACAATTTTACCTTTGAAACATTTCATTATGGGTTTAAGTGTAAGATTTCTAGCTTATTAGTGAATCAAATCAAAACCGTTGACACCTGGTTAAAGTTTGATGAGATGCCTAATTTTTTAAGCTCTTTTCTGTTTTAAATACTAATTAAAATTGTAAAGCCAACTCACTAAACATCATCAGCGGTATTGTGAAGCAGTTCCGCTTCATCTTCACAAAGTAATTTAACATTTTTAGTTAATTTCTATCTAGCTAATTGAATTTCTACAGTAATGATTTCATTTGTTCATCTTACTAAGAAGAATTGTTTCAAATGTGTTAAACTTTTCAAACGACGCGAAGTATAAAACAGTTATTAAAAAAACTTTTTTTATTTATAAATAAATTATCTTGCGTTAGTTTTATTGGTTGAATCTAGTTGGACTTTTCAGGGCTGGGGGCTGCATTATTTTGGCAGCCTTTTTCATGTGCCACAGCGTAAAAATGACTAAAAAAAAATACCAAATGGTCCTCTTGACTGACTACTCGCGGCACCTAACATTGTGAGTCCCGGGGCTATAGCCCCTCTACCCCCTTCCCCATCTCCTCAATCCACCACTAGAAATAAGACATAAGTATATAAATAAAAACTATATATCATTTTTGATAAATCGAAGAACATTTGTTTCCTTATTAAACAATCATTAATAGTAAATTGTTACTTTATATAAAAAATGTCGCCTAATTTTATAAAAAAAACTATAAAAGAGCGACGTTTCAAAAATATTTGCTCTAATCGTATTTTTTTTGTCTAAAGTTTTCTTCTTTTTTTTCTAAAAGTTTTTTTCTTTTTTTTTAACTGTTTCTTATCTGTCCAGTTAATCTTATTACGCTTTTTTTTTAAATCAAAAAATGTTCTATTATTAGAAATATGGTCAATTTTTGGATTATGGTGGATTAAAAATTTCAACTGATAGTTGGTGCCAATGGACATTTTTTTGTTTTGTAACTTTTCAAATAATTAAAGATCGTGTTTGCAGAAAATCATTAAGTAGTATTTTTATGATTATATCAGACTTATATCTTGGACATGGAAGAACATCATTGTGTAATACTAAGCAACATTTTTCTTAAAAACTTATGAGCCATGTCATTCCAAGATTTGGCAAAGAACCTGCACTAAAAATATTAAAATCTCTTAGAAGTCTACTTAATTGTCTACTATTTACAGTATATATAGTATACTATTTTATAAAAGATTTTTAAAAGTTTCATATAGTAGTGTTGTTTTTTTTCAGATTTTGTTGACAATTTTAAACAAATTTTATCTAATATTATTTGCTTGGTTTCATACTTAATATAAGAAAATATCAATTTTATATTTTAGATGGTAAAGCCAAAACTAAAGGTGAAATTATACAATTATGAAATGTGTGAAATTGCGAATTAGAAAAAATTTCTTTCCGCTTTATTTACATTGTTCATTACTTAAAATAACTTTTTTCTTTCTTTTTCTTTTTTCGTCATAGAAAATTTTTAGGCTATAAAGAGAAATTAAAATACTTTTAGTTTTAAAATTACATTTTAACGAATTTATTAACTTTTATTGCAGTAAAAAAGTAGGCCTCCACAAAAAAATCTGGTTATGAGATGAATAGACCTGTAGTAGAGAACGTTTTAAATCATGTTAGAATTCACAAACAACAAAAGAATTTAGGTCCAACAAAAAATCTTGCTGAAGCAATTAAAATTATTGTGTGTTCTCAAATACAAAAAAAAAAAAAAATATTTTTTATTTGATACTGTTTATTGTAACTTTTTATAAAAAGTTGAGAATAAAAAAATATACACCTGTTTTACTTCTTTAAGCTCAGTCTCAGCCAAAGTAAGAGGTGCACTAGCATGTTGTGTTTCTTTATGTTTCCAATAACCAGCCAAACAAACCTCACTCTTGAAAAAATTAATTTTGAACAATAAACAAAAAGTATTTCATTTTAAAAATAATGATAAGGATGACAAATTTCTATTATGTTAAAGTAAAATAATCTATTATCCTGTACATAATATAAATCAAAAATGAGAAATCATCTCGAAATAAGAAACATAGCAGATCTATTTCCCCCAAACCAGTCTGAAATAATAGGGCCTAACATGAAAGAAATAGTCCATCTTCATAACTTTTAGGGAATTAAGTTTAGACATTAGGACATCTAAAAAGTTGTAAAATTCAAATATCACTATTATGTCCAAGAAAACAAAATTGCTTTTAAATATAGCTTTAACTAAATTGATTTATTTATATTAAATATATTTGAAATAAACTTATTTTAAATATATTTTTAAACAAATTGATCAATTTTTCGCCTATGTTGCTCACCTTTTAGATAACAACTAACACCTATTTAAAAATGAAGGAAAATTTAAATATAAAAATTTAAGCTAATATAATTAACAACAAAAGCTAATTTTACAAATAAAAACAGTTTGATTGAAAATGAAGATTCATTTATTTTTCTAATGACCTAAAAAATTAATACAAATTTTCTATTGAACCTTATTGTCAGTATCACAAGTATTTTTTATTTGATTCTTGAATGATTTAAATAACTTCAATTCAACTAAGAAAAGACAGCTCTTACAAATGCTTGCTGTTATATTCTACAACACATTTCAGCAGTTATTTAGTATAGTCAGCAAATTTTGTAAAAAGTTGAAGCAATCATTGCCAATAAGAATTAATTGGTTTAGAATAACGCATAAATTACATTTAAAAAGAACAAATATAATTTTTAAATACCTTTTATAACCTTTGCTTTTCTTTTTCTTGACTTAGTTGACCCTACTTTTCTGTTAAAAGAGGAAGCTATTCATTGAGCTTCTTTTGAATCAGTTTCATTAAGTTTTCTGAGGTTGTCTGGTGTGTGTTTTCTGCTCATTTATGTTTAAGACCACATTTGAGGACAGTTAAGTGTCCAACATTTATCAGCACTGACATTTGAATTTAATACGTTTCTTGCAGAGTGTTTCCAAAGAATGAACTTCTTTCAGCCTCAGTCTTCCAATTGAGCAAAACAAGCAGTTACATTTTTAAGTAGATCTTGTGAAAGATTTGACTACAATTAAATTGAAGTTGTAGAGAGGAGAGCTTGTTATGAAAAACCCAGATCCCATTTCTGTAGAAGAAAGCTGCATTTCATCCAGATACCCCAAAGCATATTGCATATTAAATATTTATTTAATGTAATCTTTGCTATATTTTTAATACTTTTTATGCTTTTTGAGCACTGGCATAATGGGAGAGGGGTAAAATTAAGAAAAGTGATTTTATTTTCTAGATGTAATGGTAAGATTTTAATTTTACTGTATTTGGATGTCCTAAGGTCTGAATTCCCTTAAAGTTACAAAGGTGGACTATGTCATTTATGTTAGGCCCTTTTTTTTGGTGCCGATCATGCATTTGATTCTTTATTAATTTTTAAAGTTTGCTCCAAACTTTAAAAATTAAAAAAGATTTTAGCTGATTGTAGTTTGCGACAAAATTTTACCTTACCTTTAGAGTAGTAAACATTTCATCTAAAATGTGACCTCCTCCAAACTCTAGTTTAATAGTTGTTCTAGTCCCAGCATACATCATCTTCTGACGAGTCTAGAAAAAGAGTTCAAATACTTAAAAAAACAATAAAAAGATAATGCACAGGCCAACAAAAAAATTTTTTTGGGGGGGTTTTATAGCAAACATTTATCATATAGTTTTTCTCATTTTGATTTCGAACATGCGACCCATTTTTCATCACCATCTCAAGTTGTAAAGATATTTGGGTTCAAATCTTGGGGTATTTAAGGTAAAATTCCTAATATAGTCAAAAAAAAATTATTAAAAAGTATGTCAACCTGGGTATCAGGCTTTTCATATTGATTTAACTAAAAATAGTTTTTAATAAAAATACTTTTTATATTTCTGCTGAAGAACATTAAAATTGTTTTAAAAGTATTAAGTGTTTTTTCACAATAACTTTTTAATATTAAGGTTTTTACCCAAAATGTTAAAGATCTGAACCCAAATATCTTAGCAACTAGAGATGATGGCAAAAGATGTGCTGCATATTTGAAATCAAAATGCTATATGAAAAACATATTGTTTGCAACAAAACAAAACAAAAAAATACATTGTTGGGCTGTGTTATTATATAAAGAGCATATGAGCATTGAGAGATAAAATTGTTTGAATCCCTCAACAAATTAAAAAAAAATCTTTTTTATAACTTTTCATTTTTTTACAACTTAATAAATATGTTGTAAAATTAAAGTTAAATTTCAGTTAATGTAAAATTAAGCTGTCAACAAAACTTGATGTAATTATAAAAAATAAATTGAAACAAAACTCTCAAAAAATATTCTAAACCACTTTATTGTCTCATGAATTGACAATATGAATTGCAGTGTTAATACGATTTTCAAGCTAAAAACAAAGTCAGTATTCTTACATTTTCAACATACATAAAAATGTTCAAAGCTGCTTGTAAAACTATTAAAGTTAGTCAAAGTATTAACTTATAACTTAATAAATTAAAGTAAAAATTTAAATAATGTTAATAAGAACCTTTATAAATTCAAAAGTTGATATTTTACCAAATATACTGTGATCAAAATCAATATAAGTCAAGTTATTTCAATTCAACATAGATTAAAGTATTTTTCATGTTAGCTTGATTTTAAAAGTTTCTTGTTTTGAAGTTCTCTTGGACTTCCACATTCATAATGTTCAAAACTCACCCAACAGCATCATTATTAACAAAGAATGATTTTTCCATTCAAGACAAGCTCATTTTTTGATATTTTCTGCGAATTTGTAATGGTTATGACTTATTCTATATTATAAATAACATAAAACTTGCTACTTGCTAAAATTGTATTTTGGAAAATCTTACAATTTTATACCGAAATGTTTACAATTTGTCCTCAAAAACAAACCGTCCAATTTGTTTTAAATTTCAGGAAAAAGAAGCGACAGTCATGAGCATAGATGTTATTTTCACAAAATATTTAATTATGCTAAGTTTAAATTCAAAACACTTCACAAATTCATTTTTTCAAAGCTGCCCCTGTTCAAAGCTGCTCCCTTCTCCCCTACACATTTTATCACAAATTTTGTAATTTAAGATTATTATTATCACAAATTTTTTTGTAATTTAAGATTATTATTTTTATTTATTTTAATTATATATAATTTTAATTATATTTATTTCATATGCTAAAAAGTACATCTAAGTAAAACTTAAAGCTTAAAGTTGTAAAATGAAAAATTGCAAGATTACAGCCACATTTATACATGTGTGTTAGCTTATAGTGCTCTACTTTATTATAACCTTTTACAACAACCACTAATTTTTAAATCTAAAGGTCATTTGTGGCAGGCACAAATGACTTTTTGCATCTTTATAACATTTAACTCTTTGATTAGCTTAACTTTTTTTAATTTAGACTTGTACGCAACTAGCTGAGTATTGTACGCAACTAGCTCAGTGTTGTATTTAAAACATACAACGTGGCTTACAGCTGCCTAATTATAGAATCAAAAAGTAAAAATTTTATGCTGTTAGAGTGTTTAAATAAATAATATTTTATTTTCATTTTTAGAATAGTTTAAGTATTTTACAAGACAGCTTTATTATCTAAACACAAAAGTTTGGTGTAATCACCACATGGGTAACACAGTATAACACTGTTACACATGTATTAACAACTGTGTTAACAGTGTAATGTAATTAAAAATCACAACCAATAGCTAGTACATTTCAACATCATGCCTATGAGATTTATTTACTAAAAATTGCTGAGCAACAAAAATATAAAAAAGAAAATGTTAATTGTACCACAAAAACATTCATGAACATTATTCTGTAGTGTACTGAAAAATGTGATCATTGTAATCATTTGAGAATATCTCATTTTTAATATTTAAACGAAATAAACAAAATCCATTAACTATGAAGAAAAAACAAATAATCAATTAAACGAAATTCATAAGTTATGATTTTGTTCTATTCATTGAAAACTTAAAAATCTAGCTTCTACATTTCAGTATCTAATTCAGTATAAAATAATATACTATAAAATTCTGAAATTGAAATTTTTCTTAGAAAAATCTGCTTAAAACTTTTTTAATGAAATTTTTTTATTTAATATTAATGTTGTAGCTGCCTCTATTATCATTTGCTGTTTTTGCTTTAGTTAAATGTACTTCTACTAAAAAAAAATTTAACTTTTATTAGGTTATGAAAAAAATTTTAATAAAAATCTCACATGGGAATCATCAGGAGAATATGAAATAAATAGCCATTCATATCCTTGGTTATTCATTGAGTCAAGACGATAAAAGATGTAACATGGCTGCTTTGGTTCAACCATATCCAGCACACATCGATCATAATCTAAATGTTTAAAGATTACAAGTTC